GCCATGGGGAGCAGACAAGTTGTCGCTGTTCTTCAACTAGGTGGAGTATTCACAACTGACGATGATGGGCATATGACCTATTCTGGCGGAGAGGCACATGCGATGCTTGTGAAAAGTGGTTGGACTTTTAAAGCGTTTAAACATGAGATATCTTCAACACTCAATAACCTCAAGCTTGATTCCTATGCATTCAAATACTTCCTTCCGAGAAATAATAAGACTTTGATTTCAATTTCCAATGACAAAGACCTTAAGCGCATGGTTGAATTCCATGCGGACTCGGAGACAACAGACATCTATGTCATTAAGAAGGTTGACAACAGGTAACCTTCTGACTGATATAAATATCCCTCTTAAGCGTATTCTAAAAGTGACATGAGATATATTTACAGGGTAAAGAGCTCTGTAGCAGATTCCAGCACTCCTGCAGATTCTGCTATAATAGGGACTACTCCAGATGGATCTAAGCGGCAAAAGATATGTGCAAGTTGGGAGAACACAATCACTGGAGTTGGCCAAGTATTTGAGGGTCCAAAGGAATTTCGTGATGCATTGCACAAGTATGCCATTGCACATAGGTTTCATTACAGATTTGTCAAGAATGACTCTTCTCGTGTCACTGTGGAATGTACTGATGAAGGATGTCCCTGGCGCATACATGCTTCCAAATCTTCTGCAAATCAGGAGTTCATGATCAAGAAAGTGGTTGGGAGCCATACATGTGAATCAGAGACAGTCAAAAGTAATCGCCTAGCTTCTCAAAAATGGGTTGCTAGTGTTATCAAGGAAAAATTACGTGACAGTCCAAACTACAGGCCAAGAGATATTGCAAATGATCTCCAGCGTGAATACGGACTAAGCCTGAACTATTCTCAAGCTTGGCGAGGCAAACTAATAGCTCGAAAAGAACTTTACAGCCCACATGAAGAGGCATGTAATCAGTTACCTTGGTTTCGTGATAGAATTCTCGCAACAAACCCTGGGAGTATGGCAACAGTAGAGGCATTGGAAGGTTCAAAGTTCCGCTTCTTTGTTGCATTCCATGCCTCCCTTCATGGTTTTGAGAATGGTTGCAGGCCTCTTCTCTTTCTTGATGTGATAACTGTGAAACCAAATAAGCATTGGAAACTATTAGGTGCTACTTCTGTTGATGGTGAAGGTGATGTGTTCCCTGTTGCATTATCTGTAGTGGATGACGAGAGTCAAGAAAATTGGCATTGGTTTCTTGAACAGCTAAAGGCATCGTTGCCTATGCCTGGAGACATAACATTCATATCAAATGGCAGAAGTGGTCTCTGGGATGATGTTTCTGTAATATTTCCAGATAGTTATCATGGATACAATGTCAGCTTTTTCATTGAAGAATTTAAAACAAAATTGGATGACAGCTGGAGTGAAGAAGTAAAAGATATAATGGTCGAGCATCTTAAGGATGCCATATATTCGTGCAGAGTTGATGAATTCAATCATTATTTTGATCTCATTAAAGCTGAGTCTGACAAGCTTGCTGAATGGCTTTTGGAGACTAAACCTGAGCGGTGGTCAGATGCGTTATTCAAAGGGTCACGTCTTGGCCAATACACATGCAATATTTCCGAGACAATTGCGGAGTGGATCCCCAACAGATATGAGCTCCCGGTAGTGCAGCTGCTTGATACAATCAGATGCAACCTGATGGAGATGATCTATACACGCAGGGAATCTTCCAATACATGGTCAGAAGTATTAACACCGTCAGCAAATCAGAAACTTCAGGAAGAGATGAACAAAGCTCTTTCACTCAGTGTTGTTTGCTCAACTGAAAATGATGGAAACAATAATGTGTTTGAAGTATGTGATGGTTCGGTTTATACGGTCAACATTGATACATGGGACTGCACCTGCAGAAAGTGGCATGTGTCTGGGATTCCTTGCTGTCATGCCATCGCTGTGTTCGAGCAAACTGATCAGAATCCAGTCGAGTACTGTGCCAAGTATTTCAGAAGAGATTACTACCGCATGACTTACGCCATGTCAATCAACCCGATACCTGATGTCATTGTACCTCCTGCATCAACTGACGTAACGCAGAGCATGGGATTGCAACCATGCCCCATTCTAGCTCGCCGCCAAGTTGGCCGACCAAAGGAAAAGCCAGCTGATCCTCGTATTGCAATTAAAAGGGCGGTGCGCTGCAGCAGGTGCAAGGGCTATGGGCACAACAAAGCAACTTGCAAAGTCCCTCTCACAGCATAAGTTGTACTTGCTGTTATCAGTTCTCAGAATGTACATTATGTTGATAGTTGCTTTCCTTCTCCTTAATGAACTCTAGTGGTACCTTTTATGTGAAGATTTTCATCGTTCATCTGACAATGTGCAGAACATTACCTTGTCTTTGTGTGGATCATAGCCCGAAACGTGTTGTACTGCTGCTGTGCGTTATCATTGAATATTTAGAAACATTTCCTAGTAGGCGGCATGGGGAAAGATTTTGAAGGTTGTGTGAACTGAATAACTGATGCACACTGTTATATCTATCTCCATTTGTTCCCCCAGGCCCGGGCCTGATTTACATGGTTGTTTTTGCCACCAAAAAGCTGTTCTTTACGTTTCCTTTTGGTGACCTTATGCAAATCATTCTCTTCTCACAAGAGGGGTGTGTAACTGGTTCTTCAAGAATGATCCCTTCTATGCAAAAATCGTCATCTGTTGTGGAATTCGTTTCAGTCTTTCACTGGGCCAAAAATTTTACTCTCCAACAATAGCTCAAGCGGGAAAACTGCCAAGTTATGTGTGCAGAAGTTTTCTTGGCGGTGAATTTCAGGAAGATATATTTTCTCCAAAATATACAAATATTGTGGAACAGGGAAAATACTATTGCGCAAAGTGCAATCTTATGCAGTTTGTGACTTGGTTAGGAGATTTTCAAAGTAAACGTGCTTCGCAACATCTAGACCATTTTTTCTATTTCTTGCGCATTGTGGGAGATAAAGAACCACCGTGCCCATGACGGCCCAATTAAGGTTTGAGGAGTGCCTCCCCTAACACTAGGCGGCTAGGGCAAACTTTTTCCTCCAGACTTCACCGGCGAGCCCTTGGATGTGCCTCCTCTCTGCCTGCCGCTCCGGCAGCCGGTCGCGGGAGGGGAATCTCGGTGCCTCTGCTCCGCTTAGTAGTTTAGGTTCACCCATCGATACCACACTTCCAATTGAGAAGAGGACTCAAGCAGCTTTGGTCCTCTTTCTCTGATGTGTTCTTAGAAGTTAGAACCCACTACCCTCCCTCCCTAAAAGACCATGCGACCATCGATTCACCTCACGATAGTTAACCAATGAATCAAAGGCCTTGTATTCACACCACCGGATGAAATTGAAGCCATAATCTAGGAGTTACTCTAGAATGGTACTCTACAAGCTCCGCCGATGAGTCTGCCGAACTGGGAAGAAGAGGGGGTGCCCAATCAGCGCGTGTAGGGAAGTTGTTGCGGTGGCGATGGCTATGGTCGGAAAGCTAACTTTCATCATCATCCACTAGGTAACAAGCTATGTTTTATATGCGGCCATTTGCTTGAAACTACTCCCTCCGTCCAAAATAGATGACTCAACTTTGTACTAGCTTTAGAGGGAGTAATAATCTGTTGAACTGGGGCTCAGCACGCCAACAAACAACTGCTAAAGGTTAGTGATGACAATATGGATTATGTGATCACATGAGAAAATTGATGGATGGCAACGCTATCTACAATATGGATTATGTGATCTAGAGAGAATATGTGAAACTTGATGAGTGGCAATGCTGTCAACAAGGAGGCAGGTAGATGGCCACTGGACGGATCAAATGCAGTTTTTCAGAGAGTAGAAATCACATTATGGACTGAAAGGATTTGTTGGTTGAGTGTATGTCAACTAACAAGATCACAACTTCTGGATTAGAAACTTCATCTACAACTGATAAAATTGAAAAGTGCATCCGATTCCAGTACCATCACAATATAAAATCGGACTGAACTTTCCTACAGCTACTTACATGTTCAACAACTACATACGCCAAGTCCAAAGTAATTGGTCAAATGAATTTTTTTCAAAAGGTAGAAATCGCATTATGGACTGAAAAGATTTATTGGTTGAGTACATTTCAACTTACAAGATCTCAACTTCTGGATTAGAAACTTCATCTACAACTGACAAAATTGGAAAGTGCATCCGATTCCAGTACCATAGCAATATAAAATCCGACCAAACTTTATCATACATGCTACCAATACAGCGACAGTATTCCAAATGATGATGCATGACGAGTTCAATCTTTCTCAAAGGATACTGGAAATTTAAAAAACAGCAATTATGATAGATGGTGTGGCAACAAACTACATCCCCATAGATTGCTATGCTGTCTTCGCCATGTAGCTGTTGTCAAGTCCATGAGTGGAGAGAGACCTGAACCAGAATATGTAATGAGATGAATGGTCAAAAGATATATCAACTAACCTATAAAAGACAGATATGCCAAGCAAAATCAACTTTGCTGGATGATTCAAGTTCCAGAAATAGTGTAACAATATCAAGGAGAGCTATGAAGGAAACAACTCATCAATTGGAATTTCATTTCTGTCAATTTGGCAGGATGGCAAAAATTATAAAATGACACATCGAGAGCATATGGAATGCATCGTCCTTTGCTAAACTTGAAATGAAAATAGCCTTATAAGAGTATGAGAGCATTTGTAGTTGAACGATCATGAATGAATGACTCACACGAGTGTTTAAATGTCCAGAGAATTTGGGAACAGTTGTTCTTATACACTTGACAAATATGTCAATACTGTGCAAATCCACAAAGTGATAAGAAAAGAACAAGTTTACAAATTTGAATCAAGGCACTAGTTGATCAACTAAATATTCATTAAACATGCAACGGCGTAGGTTGTAACAATACTATAATGCTTGAACTAATGAACCACTGAGTAATGAAACAAATATTACCGAAATCAAATCAAATTTATCTAATACCTGAGGGGATACTCAAAACACCATCCCACGCCTAGCAGGTACAATGTACTTCACGCTTCCCTGGTGATCCTCTCGCTTGGCCAAACCAGCATCCTCTCCTCTCTTGGCCAAACCAGCGCCCTCTCCTCTCTTGGCCAAACCAGCACTCTCTCGTCCCTTGGCCAAACCAGCATCCTCTTGTCCCTTGGCCAAACAAGCAGGCATTCTTGCACCATCCACTTTTGCTTGAATAGGAGAATCAGCAGGGCACTGAAAGCGAACAATAACACTTCAGTACCATTACTAACAAGAGCAAATACCAACCACAAGATAAAACATTACCTCATATATATATCTTATCTTAGCCTCCTCCTTCGCCAACATAGCCTTCTCAAACTCCAACCAATCCTGCTTATTCCGGATGTATACAGGTACATCCGGTTGCAAGAAAGGAGTATGATTGATACCACGACACTGAATGACCGGGGTAGAGTGGCCACCTTTGTATTTATCAGCATCAACAGGGTGCTTCAAATCACACTCCCCGTACTTCGTACAACCTGAGCATGCGCCTTAGGCAAAACAAAGACATGTAGACAGTCACTACATATTTAGATATAAAATGTAGTAAAGCTAAGGACCAGTGGATGAGATGAAGGGCAACCAAAAGGCTAACCAAATTAATGTGACCTAAAACTCTATAAAGAACTTAATCTAAGGTAAAAGGAATACCGTTGATTTGTCATTTAATTACCAAATAACTAGCCAGGAGAAAGAAAACATGTGTAGACGATCACTATATGGCTGGGCATGAACTAGCTTAGATATTAAAACTGTAGTAAAGCTCAAGGAAAGTGGATGAGATGAACAGAAACATGACACAAGGGGCAACCAAACAGGGCGGCCAAATAAATATGACCCCAAATTGAGCAGAACATATCTAAGGTGGAAGAAATACCATTGATTTGTCATTTAATTACCAAAAAATAACCAACCAAGCAAAATAAAAGCATGTGCAGAAAGTGACTACATACGGCTGCGAATGAACTAGCTTAGACTTTAAAACTATAGTAAAGCTCAAGGACAATGGATGAGATGAAGGGAAACATGGCACAAGGGGCAAACAAACAAATGTGACCCCAAACTATATAAACAGAACTTAATCTAAGGTGGAAGAAATACCATTGTCAATAGGTTTAACCATACAGAAACAATTGAGCATGTATTCTTCATTTTCGCCTTCTATTCGTGTGATTTCACCAAAGAATAGATTGTCGACACCACTGTGAAAACCATCATCTCCTTTGGTTTTTGCAGTCAAATTGATATGATAGAATTTGTTAATAAGGCCGCCCTCCTCCTCGTAAATTTGTCGGGAGCACACAACATTATCAAGTTCATATGCAAGATCCTAAAAAGGAGGCATGGATTGTATCAGCAATTAGTACATGAACAGAAGACGACCAATACAAGCCTGGTAATAGGACAAAGAGTGAGGGCAGGAGGAGGGAGAGAGATCAAACCCCCAAAAGATGGTGATCTTCATTGTATTTATCCAGTAAAGCTTGAACCAATAGGTTCATATTCCTACGCCCGGGATTGCCTTCGGACGACTTCTTCCTTGTGCCATCAGGCCAATAAAGGCGATGTCGCACTGCAACCTCCGCCGGCGATAGCCCATCTCTGCACCTGGTTGAGGTTAGAACACACTATATGTTAGTAGATTGTAATTTCTGAAATGCAGATATCCATGGCAAAGTTGAGAAAAAACACATTATTGGAGAGCGCAGGCCATCAAGATGGCTTTTGATAGCCTTTTCAGCTTCCTCCAAGCTCCAGAATGGCCCCCCCAGACGAGGATACGTGTGGTAAGAACGCCCCAGATCTATTCTGATGAAAAACTGTATATGCCAACCAGGAGGTTTACGAGCCGAGATGAGTGGAGACGAGTGTGTTGACGTTGGTGAGACATCATGAGTTACCACCTCTGCCTGCTTGGAGGATGAGGAATGGTACTCACACCTGAAATGGAACATGGTTAGAAGGTTAGTATATAGACAACAAATTTTAATATTTGGTGATGAATAATTCATATAATTTGAAGGTTGGGAATATATGTTTTTTGCGCATGCCACATGCACGTGCACTACTAGATTTTGCAAATAGCCCTAGGGTCGGATACCCTAAGCAAGCAGGTAAAAACGCTAGGGAAAGGGGTTTCCCTAGTGTATCCCCTAGGGAAATCGCCCTAGGGCACGAATGGTGGGGAAATCTCGGTTTCACTAGGGTGAAGAAGGAATACCCTAGGTATAGTCCTCTTTCCCTTGGGTTCTATACCCTAGGGACACAAGCGACAGGTGGCCCGCATGCTAACCTGTAAAGTTGATAACCTTTGGGTTAGTTTCCTTCCCTAGGGAAATATTGTGTAACGGCGACCGTTGTTAGCCCAGTTTAGATCCCTTGGGTTTACAAACCCTAGGAATCATTATTTCAAAATATTGCATTACTGGGCAAATTAATATTGTTTCGTACAAATTAAACTATAAAAAATAATTGTATATAATCACTTCAAAAATTAGAAAACAATCACATGAAATATATATTTCAACCACCATTATTATAAATAGCAACATCAAAGAGTTTACATAATAGTACCACTCTTTACAAAAGATGGCATCTAGCTCAGTACCTAGAACTCACAAAATGTCATCTACCTAGGTGCCAATTAGTAGCGTGGAATACATACACCATGCATCATATGAGTTACTGATCCAGAATATCACAACCTTAACCAAGTGCATGGCCAAAAGGATAATTGTCCATTTGCTTCCAATTAATCAAAAAAAAAAGTTCAGACCACCTCCTTCACCACGACGAGGTATATCTCAAAATGTAGGTAAATCATCACCAGGTGGGGAGAAAGTTCCAGCAGCAACACCATTCGCATCATTACCATTTGCATCAAAGAAGCGGCCAAACATTCCATCTTCCGCTCCACGTAATGTATTATCCATATTTTCAACATCATTTGTTGGTTCGCCGGCAGAGGGCTGCACAAATGTCATTATTAGCATTCTGGGAAATTTTCAATTGTATTTGCCTAACCAACTAAAAAATAAAATGGAAATACCAATTCAGCCCCTATTTGGCAAAAAAATTGAACCAAAATAACAAATGTCCAGAAAATTATGAAATTTTGACAAAAGGACAACCATATGATGCCTACTATTCTGCGAAATTTTCAATCATATTTGCCAAACCAATTAAAAAGTAAAATTAAAATACCAATTCAGCACTATTTGGCCAAAAAATTGAACCAAAAAACAAAGTGCAACCATATGTCGACTACTATTCTGGGAAATTTTCACTTGTTTTTGCGCATTTGCTGATATACTACAACATATTCCTTTTATGTTTTCATTTGGCCTATTTGGCGCTATTGCATTCAAAAAGACATAGGTACATACCACTTATGGAGAACAGATCGGAGACGAAGTGGCTAAACTTGGAAAAGCTGGAGGTGGTGGTATAACAATGCATGGAATCTCAGGTGGTGGAATTCCTTGAAGGGATGCGATGGTCTGAAATTTTTTAGACAAATTAGAAAGTACAACACAAAGGGAAACAACCAGAAATCATCAATGTCCAGATTTAAAAATACATTGAGGAAAATGTCATCTCAAACAACAAGAAAACTACTAGAAATCATCAATGTCTCCATGAGATAATTGCAAGTCCTCACCATCTTCTGATTCTGCATCAGAGTCAATTTCTTGATCAGAACACAAATATACAGCTTACAATTTTATGAGATGAAGAAATACACAGTTTTAATCAGAAAACAAATATACACAAATAGACAGTTTTTTTAGGGATCACAACTTCCTAGATGTGAGCTTCATCTTCATGGAGTAAAAAAGATCTCTAAAAAAATCATTTACCGATCCCTAAACTGATGCATCAGACACATATAGGAACATGAGGGAAACATTGTCATGTGAGCTCACCTAATGGAGCCCTTGATTCTGAAGTTGAAGAAGACGCCTATAGTTGCAGCAGGTTGCAGACCGAGGACGTATTGGTCAAGGGCGGCAAGGTAGGAGCAGGGTGGCAGCAGCACGGATGCCTCCGCCTGAAGTTGTTGTCGAGGGCAGCAGGTCGGTCAAGCTCCACGGCGGCGGACCCTCTGCAGCGGCGGCGGCGGACCCTCTACAGGGGCAGCCGCGGGAGCCCAGGTCTGCTGCAGATGCAGCAAAGGCGGCGGCGGCGGCCCCTCTACAGCGGCAGCCGCGGGAGCCCAGGTCTGCTGCAGATGCAGCGGCGGCGGCTGCGGCAGCGACAGCCGCGGGAGCCCGGGCCTGCAACGGCGATGGCTTGAAGAGGGCACGGGTGACGCGGCTATGGATGAGGTGCGCCGCCGCAGCTTTGGTGCTATTTTGGCGGCGCTCTCACCGCTGGAGTGGGATTTGGGGGAAAATGTTCGCGCGTGTACAGGGTTGAGCTTTGGTGAATAGGAGGGTTTCGCGCGTTCGGGAGAGAAGATTGGGGAAACTTCGCGCGTCTAAGGGGGTGAAGGGATACGAGCGCGTACAATTTTGCGCGGGCTCGATAAGCGCCAACAGCCAATTCTGGGCGCGTGTATAGCCAATTTAGGCACTACTGATTTTTTGGAAAAGAAAAGGCACTACTCAACTAGCATCTGGTCAAAAAGATTTACTTGGCTATTATTTTCCATTGTGTATATCTAACCCTCAAAGAAATATGCACTTATTTCCACCTATTTCACTGACACATGTACATTTACTAATCAAGTGTGTGCACAAAAAGTGATGGGTCGACATATATGTCAAAAAATATATATGGTCAATCAACTTACGTTTTCTTTTTGCACAATTTATGTTATTTTCACATTTATTTTTTCTTGTAGGTTTAAATTTTCTTGATATTCTATATTTGTTGCAAGTATATTTAGAATATAAATCTTAGGGTAAAATACATATTTAAGTGTGTGTAAACCTCCCTACAGTTAACATTACAAACACTAGGGATACTCTACGGCGTTAGTTGGAACGTTAAAGCCCCGTTTACACCATATGTTCAGTCTCTAGAGTTTTGTTTCTTCACCCTAGTTATAGATCTTTTCCTAGAGTTAATAAGATAACCCGTAGGGAAACACGCCGGCATGGCTTCAGCATGGTCCCACGCACGGAGTATCCCTTGGGTGCGTAACTAGACCCTAAGGAAACAATACAATCCCTTGGGTTTTCAGTGTGTACCCTAGGAAACCTTTACGTCCCTAGGGTGTCCAATTTAACTCTAGGGAAGTGCTTCAGCCCTAGGGCTATTTGCAGATTCTAGTAGTGGTGTGAAGTGGAAGACAAAGTTGATGAGTTGAAGAATAACTAGAGAAAAAAAAGTTTATTCTTTATTTATCTATATACGAGAACCCTTCATTCCTTCAGACTCATATTTGTTTTCCTAATAATAAACAAACCACCTAGTGAATATAGCCACCAGCATAGCAGAGACAAGCGATATAAAACCAGTGGATCATGATTAAGATAGTATAGTTGAGGATTGCACACTACTTAACTAGTGTAACTGGAAATGTTGGCCTTGGCTTTTAATAAAAAGCTGGGGCGGGGGGAAACCCCTTTGATTCAAAAAAAGTGTAACTGGCAACAAAGATAAGGTGTGAGAATTTGGTTATGTTGCTTGAGAGACAGTTAAGAGAGGGACGGATCGATAAAGGTCATATTGTGGAGGCCGTGGGCGATCGTAGGGCCTCATCTGGATGTCGGTGCGGGCGACTTCCACGCATGCATCTGGCAATGCTTAGTCTCGGGTGGTGGAGGTTGGAGTAGTCGCCAAATGTACATAACTCAAGAGTCAAGATATCTCATAGCCATCGCCGTGAGGGTTAGGTACACGGTTGCCGTCAGAAAGAGGGACACCAGACGAGAGCATTGCCTAGTCCGGGCGACGGGGGCGACTTCTCTTTAGAGATCACCATGCCCGTGGTATCGTCGGGTCGGCATGGGGCGGCAGAGAGGTCCAGGGTTTGGAGGATGCTTTTATGGATCTAGGTTTTGAAGGTTGGTTTTGCTGGGTAGGCAATGGGAAATGGGGAAAGACGGAAGCCTTTCCATGGGGCAAAGCGAGGGAAAGAACAAGAGGGAGTGAAGGAAGGTTGGTGCGCTGTCCATGGTCCATCTATAGGCAAACCTAGCCAAGTAAAGAATGTCGTCCAAGCCGGGGAAATACCCTTTGTTCCTAGCGTATACACAACTGATATACAGGTAGTTCAAAGCTGCGACATTTATTTTGGATTGGAGGGCGTAATAATTAAAAACATTAAAAGTTAGCAGTCCTTTTAGAATAAACTTAACTTCTTTTGCGCTAGTATATAATTTTTCATGAATAAAAAACCAGTGTCGACTTCTAGGCAAAAAAAGAACAAAATTTATTTGCTATTATAGGTCACTATTCATACTATTTTGGCTGAAATTTAGTTTTTTTCTAAAGAAGTCCATGGGGTTTTTATCTTTGCGGTTTTCTACAAGTACAATGAAAGTTCAAGTTTATTTTAAAAATATTTTCAGAATTTTTAAAACTTTTATTTAGTTGCTACTTTCCCATATAGAGTGTGTATACACCCATAGACCAAACGTTCTTGTCCGCTCCAAGCCATCCAGGCTAGTGGGATTTTCTTCTCAAAAAAGAAAAAAGCTAGTGTGATTTAAAAATTTCTTTTGGAGAGATCGCTCTTTTTTTTATATAGACAAGGAGAACTCGCACCTATACAGCGCTTCATGCATGGTTTAGTCAACGGAGCACGACTTTAAGGGCCGGCCCATGTAGCGCTAGCGCCTGATTCGTCACTCTCTTTTCTTAGTAACAAAACAGGCATCTACAAGTTTTTTAACTGTTGACTTTGGCTATGACCCTGACCATGAAAAAAATCATAAATTCTAAACTAAACCCGTATTTCAAAATCTTTCATGGATTTCAAAAATCTCACAAATATGATAATGTTAAATAATTTGAAATTCTCATAAATTTGAAAATTATTCACGAATTTTAAAAATATTTT